ATAAACATCCCAAATTTGGCCTTCAGCTATCTTCTGGACTGCTCACATGCATCATGAAACAGGCATAATAATATTTAATCACATTTAGAAAAAAACACAGTTTAATAAATAAGTGGAAGGTTTACTCTATTTTTACTTGTTTACAGTCTTTATTAAAATGCTGAGACACACATTTATCGCAGTTATTGCCAGCAACATTTTTAGAAAGTAAATTTTTTGATTTCATCTGCAACTGACCATAGATGGATTCCAATGTTTGAAGCACAAGTACAGACCACAGAATGCACCCTTCTGCGGCTGAAGCTCTGAAACTGTTTCAGTCAGAGGCTTGTAATTCTGATCATGATAAGGAAAAACATAAATGATTGGGAAAGTGATTTAGTTTGTAAATTTACACCAACGGCAGCTGAGCGGTCAGCTGTTAGAGAATCTATCAGTTCTGTGAGTCTGATACAGAGAATGTTCTATTGCTATTTTGCTTTCATGTGGAAAAAAAAAAAAAAGGTGGGGGGGGGGGGGGGTGTAAAAGAAGGAAAGTAGTGCCCCCCCCCCCCCCCCCCCCCCCCACCACCCCACCCCCCCCCCCACCCCCCCCGCCCCCCCCCCCCCCCCCCCCCCCCCCCCCCCCCCCCCCCCCCCCCCCCCCCCCCCCCCCCAAAAAAAAAAAAAACCAACAACAGGAAACTAAATAAACTTTTAAGTGTTACTTTCATATTTTGATACTCACTGCTCTTGTGGCAGGAAAACTCAAAAGTGAAGAATTATTTTGCAAAATGTCATCCTTGTAAACATAACACATGCAGATTTTTTCCTTTTTTTGTGTGTGTCACTAAAAACAAGAGCTTTAAACACTGATAGATTCAAATTCATTCCTCTTTAAAAAAAATATATATGTGAAAGGATAAGTATTATATTTTATTTTATATTGCCTTTATTTTACCCCACTCCCTCTGCCATTATTTAAAGGCAAATTAATGCGAGCCATCATCATCCTTTGTGTGCTGTTAGACGTCACATAGGGCTCGTGTCCAATACATTCACTCCGCGCTACTGCATGCAACTTTCTGAATTTCTGACATGGAGTTCAGCCCAGCAATTTTTGCCTCTCGTAATAAGGTTCTACTTAATGCTTCCCTTGAACATCCTTCTTTTTTCTCAGACCCTTTTTTCCCCCCATTTCAGCACCTGTTCCGTAATTCTCTGCTCATTTTGTCTCACAGTATGCTCAGTATATCTCCATCTTCTTTGTAAAAAAATCATGGGTCTGAAAAAGGTATTATACTGAACACGGCATTTATCTGTTACAATAATATGTGTTATATATCGTGATATGGTAAACCTGGAATAGCTAATATACTAAACGTGGAATGGTGGTTTACTAAAAAAGTTTTATTTAACATAATCATAAAGTAATATTAATTTAAAAACTATTTAAAGTCATACATTCCCTTATAAATTTAATTGCTAAATAAATTTAATTTTGAATGAATGAATAAAATCAAGAATTGACATCCCTGCATTTAGGACATTCCCACATATTCTCCGTCTCTTTCTTTAGTAGCCAATGAGGAATCAATATGCTAATAGTAGATGTTGCAACCTGATTAAGTGTCTATGCTGAATATCTTCCAGATCCTCTACTAGCCCCTGGCTAAATTAGTCTATGAATGCATGGATGCTTGGTCTGTTCTGTTGCACTATCTTCGTGATCCCTGAGAGCCTTCACCACTTCTGCTTTATCAAAACGTAGCTCACTACATAGAGAAGTGGCAGCAGCCAATTTAACAGCTTGCTCATTACCCCGCACACCAGAATAACTTGGAACCATCACCAGACAGCTAACATTGTAAGAAAACTAGCAGAAACATCTAGTGGAAACATCATGTACAAAGCTAGTGGAAACATCCTGTAAAAAGCTAGTGGAAATATGTACAAAGCTAGTGGAAATATGTACAAAGCTAGTGGAACACATCATGTAGAAAGCTAGTGGAAACATAATTAGTAAACAAGTTGAAACAGTTAGAAAACTACTGGAAACATCACTTATAAAGATAGACGAAATGTGTAAAAAGCTAGTGGAAACGCCATGAAGAAAACTAGTTGAAATATGTAGAAAGCTGGCAGAAATATGTTAAAAGACAGTAGCAACATCACTGCCAGACTGAAGAAAGAAAGTGTATGGACAATATAATGCCACCCATTTTTGACTTACAAGAACATTTCTTAGTATCTAGTTCTGCTGGGATGACTCACAAGAACATTTCTTAATATCTAATTCTGCTGGGATGACTTACAAGAACATTTCTTAATATCTAATTCTGCTGGGATGACTTACAAGAACATTTCTTAGTATCTTATTCTGGCTGGGATGATTTAAGCATGCCTATATGTTTTTTTTTTCTTTAAACGCCAGAAAAAAAATCATCCCTGTGCTGGGGAAGATTTAAACATGAGACCATCAGGCCTGCAAGCAGGTATGCTAGCTATTGATGCTACCATGAACCACACTTATATAAGACCTAACATTCTTTCCTTTATCTGTTTTATATTCAAACCAGTCAATATGTGACCATTTATTTCTCATATTAAGTCTAAAAAAGATAAGAAAAACACAAAATTATATATCAGAAGAATCAATTTCAATTTACAGACATAGGATGTTGTGGCAGTTACCATGATGATGAAAAAAAAAAAAAAAAGCTGATTATAAAATAACTGCATTATGGTATTCAAATATTGTGTAAAATAAATATAAAATAAAAATAATAGTCAGCAACAAAATTTTAAAAAGCAGGGCTATTCAACTAGCAGCCCGCGGATCATTGTCATTTGTATTGTTTTAATGATCTTTCTATGCTTGGGGCTTTAGCCTCTGGCCCTAGGCGTGGATTTTTATCGTGGTATGGGACGTCGCAGGTCGACCCAGCCTCAAATGGGTACCAGGATGGGCTGTCCTGGGAAAGTAAAGACAGCCGGCGTAATGCTGACCACATTACCCACCGAGTGCTGATGGTCTGTAAAAATATGGGCGCTCTTTCCATATGCCCGATGCGCCTAAAGGCGTGAAAGGGATCTTTACTTTTTTATTTACCTAGGCGATCGCAGTTTTCAACATAATCAGCCTTGAATAAACTTATATGAAGAGACCTGATATAAAGTATGTAATAATTATCTGGATTGTTGTGAATTTTATAAACTTGTTATCATTCAGCTGCTGAAGGCATTATAACACCACATTCTATGTTTGTTTACTCAACTGATTCTGTATATCTGACATATACTTTATGCCTCTCCTATCATTAAAAAAAAAAAAAAAGACTTTCTTGGCTTTACTGATCTTTTTCTTTAGACTTTTATAGCTTTACAGCAGTCAACTCACTTCATTTCTCATGCTGAACAAAATTTAACAGATCATATCGTAATGTTTTTAACCAGGGTACATCATTTGGAATAACGTTTTCTTTGCTGTTTTATCCAATAAAGGAAAAACTACATAGCATCAGAGGCCCAAGGGGTGGTAAAGAGAGATGTAAAATCGGCACATCTTGCATTCATTGGGCTTCTAGGTAGGAACCTTTGAACATATTATGCGTTCCTTGAGATTGTAAGAGTAATGCAATTAAAACCATCAATTAGAAAAAAAAAAGCCATGTTGCTGAACACAAAAAAACCCATACATTGTGTAATAAACATTATTCATACTTGAATCACTGAGCAATATATTTAAAAAGAACAATTCTGAAATAACAAATTAAATAATAATAACGCATAAATTGACAACTTTTGGTAAATATTTAAATCTAACGGATAAATAAATCAAATGAGAATAACTATAGTAAAAAAAAAAGAGGAAGTAGCTATACCACTGAAAATTTCTCTACAGATAATTTACTTTGTCTGCCTCATACAACTGTTACTTTAAAGTAATAAAAAAACAGTCGAAGGTGTCAGAATAATACATCTTAAATATAATGAAGGAAACATAGTGACTGAAGGAAAGATGAATGGAAAGAGAGATAAAGGAAGACATCAAAAGAACATTGTTAAGGTTTTTAGTTTTTGGTTTTGGCACAGAATAAGCAGCACTCGAAGTGGTGCAGGATTGCAAACTGTGAAGAAATAATTGCCCACAAAAACTGGCAAGGCACTTGATGATGAATGTTTTCTTTTTAATTATTTAATTTCCCTCTGGGATTGCAGCCTAAAAGACTGGCAACCCTCCCAATGACTCAGAGAGTCACTTTTCAGATGCAATTCCAACAGAAGAAACCTCAGACACCTAAGTTAAATCTTTAACTCAGTTTTACTGAGGCACTCTACGGTTACCAAGTAATCTGGCTGTCCTATGGGTTGGGTATACAAATTATGAATGCAGCAACCAGCTGGGTCACTAGGTAGGCAGGCAGGTAGGTGTTTTGCTAGAAAAAAGAATAGTCACGTTTAACCAGCATCCACAAAGGGGGAGCTTTAGGTTATAATTGTGATTAGGTTATGTGTGCCATATAAAATGGCTTTTAGCATTGCACGCCACCAAGAGCCTTGAAAATGACTCCAGCAGTGTTGATGCGATCAAAGGAGAGAGGCCTAAGTACTGTCCTGACCGGCGATGAAGTCATCTACCGGTGACCCAGTGGGTGACCTGGTCACTGGTGCTGGGCCACTAAAAAGTGAATGATCTTATAATCCATTCACTCGGACATGGATAAAGTTTACCAGTTTCAAAAATACCTGAAAATGTTTTCCTACATTTTTTTAAACCCTGGACAGAATATCAAATATTGACAAAATATTGACAAGTCTCCTGGACAGAGACACAGTCTTCAGTTGAGTTGAGTTGTCAAGAATTGATATCACAGCAATCAGGGCATTCCCATGCATGCTCCGTCCTCATCTTCAGGAGCCATGAAGACGGACACAGTCTTCAGATAAGTACGAAACCTATATTCCACTGCAGAGGACAATGGCAAAATTTATCGATTAAAAAAAAAAACCCTGAACAATTATTCATAAATTTTAACCCTGGATACAATATCGAATATTGACTTATATCTCCTAGATGGCAACATGTTCTTCAGATAAGTATGAAACCAGTGATGATTAGCAAAAGCTATGGAAAGAGGATCATAGTTATTCTCTTTTACACTCTTAAACTTTAAATTGATACATGCTTTAACTTGCAGCTTAGTCAGTCTGCTCTCTTTGCTGCATCTTGTGAACATGTAGTGGAGTTTTGCAGGATCAATGGTCGGGTAGAAGTATTCAGATGGCGCTACATAGACGCCATCTTTGTGATCAGCAGGTAGAAGATTCTGCGACTGAAACTGTCGGTATATCATCGTGACAAAGTGAGGACCCGTGCTGTCTAAATAATGCCACATGATTGAAAAAGAAAGTAGATTATCGACTAATAACTTAATAAAAGGATGCCCCTTGCGACACCCGATCAGAGCATTGATTAAAAGTTGTTCAAAGTTTGTATCAATAACTGGGTGTTCGTATGGTTCTTGTCCAATAAAACATGAATATTTCAGTATCAGTGGGTTTAGAGATGATAAAGCTTCCATGTCCATATCAACATAAACTCCACCATACTCATACAAGACAATATAACGCAAGGCATCTGCCCGCCGTATTGGCTCTGTGTAGCCATCGAACATGTCCAACAAATGCGAGTATTTATCTTTAATAAGCTCCCTGGCACTCTCATCAGTCCACAGCCAGTACTCCCAGTCCGGATGCTTTTCCAGCCAGGACTTGATCCATACTTCAAATTCAGGAGGTATATGGATGTCTTTCCAAGTCTGATGAATTATTTTAGGTATAAGGGGGACTCCTTCAGAAGGGAATGTTTCTCTTTCTCGGATGCCTACTGGGACAAAGTTCTTGGGAATTTTTATGTCCAGATTATGAAAAAATGCTTGACTGTCTGCTGCTTCCCACTTGAGAATGTAATGAAGACCCACAAAAAAGGCACAGCCAAACAACAGAGTAATTAGACGGGTGTTCCTTTTCCGAGTTTTGAAAATTTTAAATAAGAATAATCTTTGTAGCAGTCCCATCTGTGAATAGAAAAAAATACATTGAATTAGCATGATAAATTACCATGAACAAGTGCATCATTTTGTATAAGTTGTTTTGCATGGGTAAGAAACAAGCTAGATGGTGAGGTCTAGAGATAGAAGACATTCAATGTTTAAACTCATCAGTCTGTTTTTACAGAACATCGCTCTCATAACGGCACGTCTAAAAGTTTCTTTTTCTTTAACCCTATGTGCTTTCATAGCCAATGCATCTTCAATGTCCCGTATCAACATCCACGAAGGTCTGCCTCTGCCTCGTTTTCCAGAAATTGTACCCTCCATAATTGTTTACTCCAGGCCACGTGATGTTTAACATGGTCAAAATACCTCAGTCTTCGGGACAGGATAATGTTTATGAGCTAATCCTCCTTGAGGTTCAGATGATGTAAGATGTCGACATTAAAAAAAAATTTTCTTGGTCCATGGTATTCTAAGAATTGTTCTGGTTTAGGTTGTACCATTATTAATTTTAAACAATTCAACATGTCTTAAAGCTGAGCACTTTTCACATTCCAACTACTGTATGTGTGTCAAAAATAGGATTAGAAGGGTCGAGCTAAGGGCTCAGATGAAAAGGTCAATCAGAGACAAGTTTATAGAACATTAGAGAGTGTTGGATGAAGCACAAACTCTGTAGCTTATACTGGGATCCCCCAGGAATCTCTGCATTTGTGAACCAAACAATAAAGTTCATACAATGAAACCAGTATAATGAAATGGTTTGTCCATCAAATGAGAATGAAACCAACTATGCCAGCAGAGGAATGTACAACCTGAAAATCGAAACATCAAGAGGCAGAAAAAGACTGAGAAGAAGATGGATTGAAGTAGTCACTGACAGCTTGAGACTGCATAACATCACAGCATATCAAGCGACTGAGCACACCCTGGCTTGGCTGCTGATCATCTAATGAACTGCAATGCCTAGCAGCATAAGCAGATATTGTCAAAAGAAAGAAAGAATGAACCCACTACCTTCAGAGAATAGGGCAAAAGGCTTGACCATTTCACCAAAAAGACTCCCCACTGCAATGTGTAAATAAATGAACTAAGTGTGCTTTGTGTTAAAGGATGCTTTGCTTGGGTCTAAAAGTGAACATCTGAAACAGGTGATAGCGATTGAACATTGTGAGCATGATACATCCACGCAATCAGCATGCAATGTAGAGACAGGGATTGTTATTAAACCTGCACCATGTTATTAGGCAACAGAGATGTGGTTTCTGAAATGAATGTTACGAACAACTTGGACAGCCAGAGTAACTAAAAACGATTGTCTGAAAGAAGCTAATGAAAGTAGATCTCTATATGCAACAATAAGAAAGAGACAAACACTGTTCTTTGGCCACGTAATGAGAAGAGAGACATTGGAGAACATCATGACAAATAGAAAGATCAGTTGAGAAAGGGGTTGAAGCAGACCGAGAGAGATGGTACTAGATGGGCTGAAGTGATGGCATAGGGGGATGTCATAAAGAGAGCTGTTCCAGGCAACCAGGAATTGTGATCTGTAGAGATGTATGAGCGCCTATCCCAGTTGGCAGGGCACATGATGATGATGTTATTAGATATTGACAGATTAGAAAGCCAACACAGGACATAACCATGAAAATGATTTCCTCAATCGTCCAAACAGAACAGACCAAGTCAAAGTTTTTCGCTGGACACTGCAGGCTCACATAGACTTTTTCTTTAAACTGAAAAATTGTATGAATATTTTAAGACTAACTTTCTATTTTTATTATTTAAAAAACACTACAATATGACACACATATGAAAAAAAAAATTTATCACCATCATTGCCATTTCCCACTTTTTTTCCCTACAGCATAGGGGAGGGGCGGGTGTGAATACAATTTAGGGCTATCCTCCAAATAACGGTCCTAAATTATTGAGGCGGAAAATATACCCTAACAGGGCCTCAGTCACGTGTCAATTGCGCACTTCTGGGGACTATAACGCCACCGCCGTATTGCGCTTCTGGCGACTTCCGCCACCGCCGAGAGTATCCCCCACGCCGCTTACGCTGCTGTGGATTGGGGCTAAACTAGATGGTTAGGACTCACGAGCAAATAAAATTAAGGAAGCTGCAGGAGACGCGGTAGCTGCTGCTCATGAGTCCCAGCCATCTAGTTTAGCCCCAATCGTAGGGGATACTCTCGGGGGTGGCGGAAGTCGCCGAAAGTGCGCAATGTAAGATGACGGAAGTGCACAATTGACTGAGGCGTAGGGTATATTTTCCGCCTCGATAATTTAGGACCGTTTTTCGGAGGATCGCCCAATCCAGTGCTTCATGTGTAGCACTGGATATTGTCATTCCATGTTAAAGCAGACTGTCTTTAATGTCTTGAATCCATCTTGTCCTTTAGATACCTCTTGCTTTCGTGCCAAACTGTGTGTGTAAATCTAGATTATCTAGGGATCATCATCATGCTGGTAGTTGTTCTAAACCATTTGGTCGTCTCATATCGAGGCCGATTATCATTATATATATATATATATATATATATATATATATATATATATATATATATATATATATATTTTATATATATATATATATATATATATATATATATATATATATATATATATATATATATATATATATATATATATATATATATATATATTATAATCACTAGCCCCATTCCATTCCGACAAGCTTTCTGATCATTTTTTTTTCATTTCTTGATTACGGTATCAGATCGACTGCAATTGCCTTTAGTTTAGACAGTGAGGTACCACGGCTTCCATAATTTATTCTAGTAAAATTACATGCATTATTTTCGTTAAGAATGATCGTTTGTTAGTTACCGCTTGAATCTTTCAGTGACACAGTAGCTGGACACTTAACCACAGCACACAGCTACTCAGCAACGGTTTCTTTTCCATTGTTGTTTCCCCTGGGTTGACCTCTGACCTCTCTTACTAAGAAAATCCAGTATTTGTTTCGTTGTTACAGACATTCGCAAAGTAAAGGGAAATTAATCATCATCATCAAATGCCTTGCAGGCTGGCGAGTCAATCATAGCCGCCCACAATCTGCTTTCTCAAACCGAATTAATCTACATTTAACAGTGAGCAGTATTGTTTACATTCTACGTTGAGCAGTACTGTGTACACCCCACTTTGAGCAGCCTTGTATAAACACACTATACTTTTTTGTTTCTATTTCTTTTCTCTACTTGGACCTTGCTGAAGCTAGTAACGTAACTGAGGTATGGCAAGTAGAAATGGAACTAGAAGATTGTCAACGCTGCTGTGATGGCTGGACACTAAAGTGGTGTACATGAAGATAAGCAGGAGCAAATGAGGGTGACTTCTTTTTTTGAACCAACCATTGAAGCCCTCTGTGTTTTTCTGTTGTTCAACACAGTGTTAGGAAAAACTAAAACATGCCTTTCCTGAGACTGTAAAGTCAAGGAGTCTGTACCTAACTAGGTGGAGTGCAGGGACAGATGCTGTCAACAGTTGTCAACAAGTACTCGTACCTTTAAAAAATTGTATACACACAATAAATTTTTACCATCCATTGAATTTTACTGGCAAAAGAATTAAACAGGTTTTCCAATTATGTACTTCATTGTCTTTAAAAGTAGCCCCCAAAGTGATCGTTGACAAATGCAGTTTTTTTCCTTACATCTGACAACCCCTACACCCCCCCCCCCTCTCCCCAATATCGGCGCTAAATACTCTTGGTTGCCATGGACATCACTTACCTCTAGCTACGCCCCTGGTTAAGGCTTATCAGGTTTGACCTTTACTAAAAGTCGGTCCAACGAACGTTGCTTCTGCCTTCTCCTCGGGATGTTTCGGAAATATGACGATTTGTCTGGGAAAAAAAAGGGGGGGGGGGGGATACTTCTCTGCAAAGTTTAATATAAATCTATCAATTTGGCAAAATTTCCTTCATTAATGAGAGAGGTAAACAAAGGTAGGGCGGTGTCGTGACTTATTTTGACGAATACAAGTTCTAATCAATTCCATACAAAGGTTGCGTACCAGTAAAAATTGTTCACATCTAAACATGACGTTAACCGAAGTGAACGTGTACCAAAGCAGGTGTATACCGAGATACCAGCGTACATAGATCTGAAGGAGTTCAACAAGCATTATGAACTGAAGTAGTTAAACTCACAGTTAAGATACAGTGGGTTGATAAACTTCTCTCCGTGTCATAAAAGACGAATAACATAGATTCTTCCTCTAAAGTCGGAGTGCATCTGTTTGAGAGGCAAAGTAAACAATAGTCTGCATACAAATAAACCAGATCTGTAAAACGGATTTGCACACAAAGCTAATGTTCTGGAACATGATTAAAGTCCTCAAGTGGACGAACAACATGGTCCTTTCGCCTGAGTTTACAGCGGGTGGAAGTGAAGAAGAAAAAAATATAACTTCTATGGTGAAATGGAAACAAGAACATCATACAATCTTGGGAATTATTAATTTACATACTGTGAGTTATTCGGTACTGAAAGAGTTAATGCTAGAACGCTAATCTAATGCGAATTTCTTACAGATACAAGCAATAAAACTATTAACATTTTTAAATACTACAGTCCGTTCAGATTTCATGAACATGAATAGATTTTAATATTTTGAAAACCAACGGATCGATCGTAATGACATTTGCTATGCTCACTCCAGATATCCATGACACTAAGGAAATATTGCTTTACCAATGACGAATATCAAATATAGTTTTTTCCTTTCATACTTACCACACACACACACACACACACACACACACACACACACACACACACACACACACACATATATATATATATATATATATATATATATAAATTTTGAAACCGTTTTGGTAGAGTTTTGGAAGGTTTACTTTGATTAGTTTAAGGAAGTAATGTTAATAACAAAATAAAGTGTGCGTCCGTTGTGAGAAGCAATTTTTGTTTTGTTTTAAAGCCTTACCCTGGCTATTGCTGGGGGCCCTAATATAACCCAACCTG